AATTTAGGCTCCAAAATTTTGAAGGCCCTGTTTAAAATCTCACATTTAACATGCTGAGAGACGGCCTACTTGGATGGAACATAAAATTCAAATGTGGTTATGTTTATAAATTGGTATTTCTTTGGGTATTTCTTTTGGTAAGCGTTGGAAGCAACTAGTAGCAAACATGATGCCATAGTAGCCCATAAAGGAAAAAATTAAAAGGGAAATCCAAGTCCACAATTCACGTAGTCTAGGACCGATCATTTTTTAGTTCGTGCGACTATCATCGGCGACCAAACTCACAACCATACTCACTGAAGACACTGTTTCGATGGTAAAACAGAACCAAACGACTTTCCGATAGGTATAGCGGCTCGTAGACCCGCCATATTCAGTTCGAACTCATCCACTTTATAAGATTTACAAGTATTCCGAAATAATTCCTTATGTTTGACCCTTTTGTCCCTGGCTTTTACATTCATCTCCACGTGACGACAACAACGTGTATGATGGGCCATTGGGAACATGGTGGTAATTGCTTGGTTTACAGAAGCAGCACTGTCGGATATGAAAACCAACCCTTCCATTTATCTGATACACTGCTTCAACATGGACAAAAACCAAGTCGGCACCTCCCCACTTTCAGACCTACCAACTCCGAAAGTGATGGGCATAATTAGTTATTTGTGTCAATAGCAACAACTAAGAACATTGTGCCCAAAAAGGCCCTTCAAATGAGCACCATTGATTATAAGCACCCAACGCAAGTACGATACATGTAATCAAATTTAGAAAGTTAGGTGGTTTATATATTAGAAAATTATAGTATATAGTTATGCAAAAAATATAAATAAAATTTAAAATGGTGAAAAAAGAACAAAATTATACATATCGTGCAACCAAGGGCAGCGAACACATCTCAAATTGTCCTCTACTATATGTCCTAATTGACCCGTACTGGGATTAAAGAGCTCAAAATTATAAAGAAATGTCTGGAGTTGGATAAACGAATCCTCCAAGCAACCCCTCACCATGCTTAGTGCATAAGTTTTCGCACGCCAAGCTTGCTAGTACGAAATATTATTTTCAATTGATCTCTTGCATCGTTGACAATGTTGGCTCCATGAAGTGTCATGCACTTTAGGATAAATTAAATGACCGAACTCTCTTATGTTTGCTTGACGGTGGTTAGGATGCATCTGGGTCTTTGAGCAAATGTGTACGTCATGTAGCTTTCGTACATGAAATATCTTCGTTTTTTCGACAAAGATTGTCATAATACGCCAATCATAGTTTTCTTAAGCACACTTTACCTCGTTCTGGTTTTTGAAGATCAGTGCACTTTAAACTTGAAACCCTCTTCAAGAAACTTCAACCCGAGGGCGAGTGCCATTTCTTCTTTCKTAGGGAATACCTGCGCCAAACTTACTCTTCCACTACGATTATAAGATATGGGTTGGTTGGGTGTGATGACAGACTTTGATTAGGGGTGCTCACGGCCCGGGTTGATCGGTTTGGAGCCATTTTAACAACCCAACCCAATGTTGGCGGTTTGAAAATTTTCAACCCAACCCAACCCAAACAAAAATTCAACCCAACCCAACCCAACCCGTTCGGGTTGATCGGGTTRATCGGGTTGATCGGGTTGTGTTTAAACAATGTAAAATCACATAAAAATACATGAAACTTTTCTTTGAAATACGACCGACCATTCAAGATAATATGCAAGTTCATCAAATATTTAGATATTACAATAAAAATGTTTAAACCAAATGATAATACATCAATCAACAACAATAGTTTTAGACGTTTTCCAACCCCGATGCTTTCGCTTTCTTGACGTTGAGGTTGGTCATGTCATGATTGTCATCTACAATTCAAAGCTAAAGTTAAGGTCGGGTTCATCGTGTTGGTCGGGTTTTTTTGGGCCTAACCCGATTCCAACCCAATAAGGTCGGGTTGGCTAATTTTTTTATCGATCATGCATCGGGTTACCTCGGGTTGGGTTTTTTTTTTTTAAATTCGGGTTGGGTTGGTCGGGTTCATCGGGTTTATCGGGTTTTTGAGCACCCCTAACTTTGATGTTGGAAGAGGAGGCATATTAAGAAAATCATTTTTCCCAACAAATGATTCAATAGTAGAAGTTTATGTTGTTGCTTCTTCATCAAAATCAATATCAGATATGTCATCATCGTGTTTATAAACTTCGTCTTCTTCTACTACTTGTTTTATTTCTGGAACAAAATCGTGGATATAGTCATTAAGACCATGTCTGTTTTGGAATAAAATCGGAGGTAACCCATATGTATGCTTATCTTTCCAATCAAAATTAGGCACGAAAGAAGTTTGATTCTGCTCAGGAGCATACACATAACCTTCGGAGTTCAAACTACCACCAACATTGCTTCCACCACATATCAAAAAATAGACATACACATAAAGTATTGGCGGCTTATTTGAACTGACAACATATTCCATGAAAGACAAAACATCGTCAATGTCACCTAACTCATAAATTTCGCTAGAATACTTGTACGCTATTCTAGTGATACCAACAAAAGAGTTGATACCGCATTTTGTTTGAACATAACCAACCAACCTTGAATGTGTAATATTTGATGGCACCATGACACGGAGTATCTGTTTATCAGAATCATACCCCCATTCTTTTTTAATTTGCTGCCACAAACCCCCATCACAAATACATAACCTAACTTTATTAGTTCCAAAACTCATTTTGCAAAAAACACATAATATAGAGAGGAAGATAAATGAGAGAAATATTAGATTGAAAAATTGGTTGAAAACTCGATGGTCTTCAACATTCATCGTTGGTTTTTCTTATACAAAAATTTGACGGAATCAAATTGTACCAAAACATTGCAATTATGCATCTGCTGAAGTTGTACAATTCATAATCATGGTGAAAAAATACAATGCAAATCCACAAGAAAAACATACATGAAAAACATGGAAATGTGTTTTTTTTAACAAAAATGATGTGGAACCCCAATTGCGGACCTGGCATATTACGAACTAAAATCGGAGTATGATCAGGTGCTAAGACGTGTAGGTCCGCAATATTGCGGATGGCGCATTGCGGATCTAGACAAATTTTCGAGAAAAATTGTCTTTCAGCCAGTTCGTAATGCATATTACAGACCCGTTGACATTTTGATCATACTAGGAGAAAAATGATTTGAAAACCAATACGCATTGATGAAATGGCTATTTTGTCCAATTTCCCTTTAATCTAACATACAACCACTTTTCTATTGTTCAAGTAAGAACGTGTAACGTTATATTCTTCAAAAATAAATTGATAATATGTTGAAATATTCATATTTTATGTTAATTTTTTCCATAGATCAACGTCAAAATTGACTATACTACTTTTGGGTTTTTAAAGAAAAATTGTAAATTCTATTTAAGATCAGAGACAACAAAAATTGAGATGGGTATATCTAGTGTTTTGATGATTGAGAACTCCTCTATTTAAGATCAGAGACAACCAACTATTTTATTTTGAATGATCAAGTCCCTAAACTATTAGCTTAAATAAAAAATTCATTAAACTTTTACATCTTGAATGATTAACTCCCTGAATATTTTTTTGTAATAAATAAACCATTGAACTTTTAAAAATTGATTATCTATATCCTTTTTACAAAAAGAAAAAAAAGTACGTGTAACCGACTAAAAATATTTTATTCAGTTTTAACGTTTCCAATATGCCCTTTAAACCCCTCACAAATGACGGTATCACTCCCTCTCATCACTCCTTGTCATCTCATCGTCGTCCATTTTTTATATCGGCTATCATACTGTTGGCTCCTACCATCAATCTATTTTTAGGGGATTATAGGTAGTTTTACTTTAAAAAATTCTAGTCAGTCACATGTATTTTTTTTCGTTAAAATGATGATAAGTAACCAATTTTTATAAGTTCAATAATTTAACTATATATCATTTAAAATAATAAAGTTTAATGATTTTTTATTTTAAAAATTAGTTCAGAAATTTAGGAGTTGTTTGTTTACCTCTTAATAGTTCTATTAAGAGTCAACATCTGAATCATTAAGAGGTACATCTTGTTTGGCAAAAAAAAAAAAGTCTGCCTCTTAATGGTTTAAAAACCCTCTGAATGATTTTGTATCATGCTCCTCCCTTAACCATTAAGCACGCTAAATTCATTGTAAACAATCACCAAACAATTGTATTTCATTTTTCACTATATCATAAACCTCTTAATCATTCTGCACCAAATCATTTAACAACTACCAAATAACTCCTTAATCTATTAAAATGAAATAGTTGGTTAAAATTTTCAAGTAAAACAATAAGCTGGTTTGGCGGGTCTCCTCCGAAGGCCCGTCCTCCACCGATGAAGTTGAGCAATTTTGTAATTCCCATTTGACATTTTTTTTCTTTTTTAATCATATGTTTTCTCGTTTATGGGTTTTGCAAAATTACACGATTTAATAAAGAATAGAACCTTGGACATGACATATATTCATGAATTCAATATAAAAAAAACCATTGCAACCACGGCAAATACGTCAGCAGTAATGGCGCTAGTTGGTTTACTCGATCACCCTAGACATCGAGTATATATATATATATAAAAGTTATACTGAGAACGGTAAAAAAAAAAAGAAAAAAGAACAGATTAAAAAATTAAAAAAATCAATCATATAGAATCTATTAAAATAGCACTTTTTGATTTTCTTTTCGTCCCCTCATTGTTCAATCACATGGAACCTTCGTCACATGGTTACTCCGTACGTCAAGCTCCATTACGTTTGCAATTAAACAATGCATTTGCCGGGGTAGGTACTCAAAACTCTCAGATCTGTGATTTTTAGTGAATATATTAAAACATATATATGACAACCCCAACCTTCACCGGGGGTAGTTGAGAGTTTTGAGAGTGTATTAATGGTGTGTATATATATACCATGATAGATACACATTTACTCTCACTCATCACACAAACAACATCTAAGCTGTAATCATCCATGGCTTCTAAACAAGGCCTTGTGCATGTCTTTCTAGTCTCCTTTCCTGCACAAGGCCATGTCAATCCACTTCTCAGACTTGGGAAGCTTCTAGCTTCAAAGGGCAACCTTTTCGTCACCTTCTCGTCCAGCAAATCTATCGGAAACAAGATGAAGAAAGCCGGTGCTTCCGCCTCTGGTGATCCTATTCCGGTGGGAAATCGTGGTGGGATGATCCGTTTTGAGTTCTTTGACGATGGATGCTCTGAAGACAATGACGATGAACGGAATGACCGTGAAACGTATTTGAATAAGCTTGAGGTTAACGGAAAGAGATCGCTAACCAAAATCTTTAACCAACATGCGCAAGATGGCCGGCCGGTTTCTTGTCTTATCAACAACCCTTTTGTGCCGTGGGTTTGTGACTTGGCTGAAGAGCTTAACATCTTTTCAGCAATGCTTTGGGTGCAGTCTTGTGCTTGCTTTTCTTCGTATTATCATTACGAGAATTCATTGGTTCCTTTTCCAAGCGAAAAACAACCGGATATCGATGTTCAGCTGCCCCACATGCCGCTATTGAAGTCCGATGAGATTCCTAGCTCTTTACATCCCTCTGCGGCTTATCCGTTCTTGAAAAGAGTCATTTTAGGACAGTTCAAGAACTTGTCAAAGACGTCCTGTGTATTAATGGAAACATTTCAAGAACTTGAGGGTGATCTGATCACGTACATGTCTAAAATATGCCCTATCCGACCCGTAGGTCCCTTGTTCAAGAATCCATTACTCGAAACCAGCACCAATATCTGCGGTGACTTGATAAAAGCCGACGAATGTTTGGAGTGGCTCGACTCAAAGCCACCTTCATCAGTGGTTTACATATCGTTCGGAAGTGTTGTGAGCTTGAGCCAAGAACAAGTCACTGAGATGGCTTACGGGGTTTTGAATTCTGGCGTATCGTTTTTGTGGGTGTTGAGGATGGATGCGACTTTTACTGGGGTATCGGGGCGGTTGCCCAAGGGCTTCTTCGAGGAAGCGGGTGAGAGGGGGAAGGTGGTCCAATGGAGCCCACAAGCCAAGGTGTTGTCCCACACAGCACTGTCTTGTTTTGTGAGTCACTGTGGGTGGAACTCTACCATGGAGGCATTGTCAAGCGGTGTTCCGGTGGTGGCGTTCCCACGGTGGGGGGATCAAGTGACGGATGCCAAGTACTTGGTTGATGAATGGAAGGTTGGGATTAGGATGTCTAGAGGTGAGGATGAGCAAAGGGTGATCGGGAGGGAGGAGATCGCCAAGTGCTTAAAGGAGGCCACTAATGGTGAAAAAGCAGTCGACATGAAAACGAATGCGTTAAAGTGGAAAAAGACAGCGGAGGAGGCAGTGGCGGAAGATGGAACCTCTGATCGGAATATGCAAGAGTTTGTGGATGAGATTAGGAAGAGAAGTCTACGAATGGCAGCAGATAGAGAAGTAAAGAATGACCGTTGTTGGACAAAACCCGAATTGTTCCAAATTCGACATCCAATTAACTACTAAAGTAGGGTTCTCTGGAAACAAACTGGGTTCATTTGTATGCTTTCAATAATTTTCCGTTTTCATTTTTTGCTTTGTGATTGTTCCATATTGGATGCAATTAGCCTCAGGTGTACTTGCTAGTGCTCTTGGTTTTTGCTGTTCTAATTTCTCCTATGTAAACACCCTTCATTTGTTACATTTATCACCTTCTCATTGTTATTAATTAAGATGCAAGACTTGTTGTCTTTTTTCTTCTTTGAGTTTTTTTTTTTATTAACCTGGATATCAACACCACCTGCTTTGCAGATAGCCCGGAGTCACAGCATTTGAACCTCCGTGACCACAAGTGGATTTTTTTATTCCTACTTGGATTTGAACATGAGAATTTCTCAAAAAAACAGGTTTTATTTTGTTATATTACATGGTATGAATAACAATATTTGCTTTTTCTGTCAATAAATCATTCATTGTTGTTGTGAAAATGGAAGAAAAAAATAGCAAATTTTGGATATTATTTGGAGCTGTACTTGTGGATGCAAGTATGCATCACTGTTCACAACACTTGTCATTCATGTCAAGAGTATTGTTGTTTTGCAATTTCCATTAAAAACAGCATATCTATTTGTGGCAAAAATCCAAAATCAAGTATGATGATGTTTTTATGACGCATTCATTACTTGTATCTCATATTTGATAAGCTGTAATAACTTATCATAAAATATTGCTTTCTTATTCTTTATAACTTTTTTAAAATAAAAAATTAAAACTCAAAGCTTCTAAAATTTATATTCAACTCCAACAATAACAACAACAACAACAACAGATTCTTTATTTAAAAAAATTACAACATCAATTATATTATTAAAATATTATTTAATTTATCATCCAATACATTTAAAATAACTTTATACAAAAAGAACTAATAAATAAGTCTCTTTGGTGGAAATATTAAAATAACATTTTTCTCTCCTTAATATAGAGTTTTGGAGATTCTTTATATTTGGAGTTCTTTCTATATTCCTCTGTTTTAGAGAACAAGATAGAGAATTTATTAGGCTGTGTTTGGTACATGGGACAGGACAGAACTCAATGTCACGTGTTCGGCGTAGCATGGGACAGAACAAGAACTCACTATCTCATGTTTGACGTGACATGTGACATGTGACATGGGGCAAAACAAGAATGGGACTATTAAAAAGTTTTTTCCACCAAAATAGATGGAACAAGATAAGACAAGAATGAAACAAAAACTAAAATATTACTAATCTACCCTAGTTTGATATATATAACTTTAATATGGTATGTGTTTTAATGGTCATCACCGCTAGTTTTGGTCGCCACCTCCACCTCCATCTCCTCTTCCACTACCATAACATCGTCCACCATCGTCCATTGCCACCTCTACCATAGTCTACCACCGTCCATTGTGACCACCACTACCGCCATTCACCACTTCCAACTCCTCCTCTACTACAACAACCTCCTTCACCACTTCCAGAACCATCGTTGACCACCTACTACCACTGTCTATTGCCACCTTTACAACCACCATCGGCCACCGACCACCACCACCTATTACCACCAACACTACCACCGTTGGCCACCTCCAACTCCTTATATACCGCAACAACCTCTTTCATGACCTTCACAACCACTGTCAACCATCGACCACCACTGTCCATTACCACCTCTACAACCACCACCATCCATTGCCACCACCACCACCACTGTTAGCCACCTCCAATTCCTCTACTGCTACAACCTCCTCCACGACCTCCATAACCACAATCGACCATCGACCACCACCGTCCATTGCCACCTCACTTCCACCATAACCACCACCACTATTATACTCACTATATCAACCACAACTACCTCATCCACCGTTGTCAACCGCCACCATCACCACAAGCCACCATCTTCGCATCCTCTATAACCACCGTCGTCCACCAACCACCACTGCCTCTACCTCCATAACCACCGACCACCACTTCCCTTCATCACTACTACCGTCGGCCACCACCACCACCACTACTAGTAGTACTACCATCAATTATAAAAAAAATTCATTCAAATTTGGTACCATCATATATATATATATATATATATATATATATAATCATTTATATGAAAATTGTGTAAAATTATATATAAATTAAATTCTTTAATAATTTGCTTTATTTATGTTAATTATAACTATTATATAATATTTAAAATAATCAAATAACTTTTAAGGGTAACTTGTTTGGCTCTGTCCCGTCCAGTCCTAGTCGTACCAAACACCAGACATACACTTGTTCTATCCATCCAATTCCATCCACTCCTACCCTCTTGTCCTGTCCAGTCTTGTCCAATTGTGTTTGCATACAAAATGCTACCTTAAAGCAATATAAAGAACCAAAACTTCATATTCGTTATTTTAGAGAATCTGTTGAAGATGCCCACTTGTCTTTCTCATAGAGTAATTCTAATACAACTATTATAGTCCTATGAAACCTCACTCACCACACCACATTATGAGTCAGCGATATAACACATGATATAATGTACGACTATAAATCATGTTCATGCATGCTCAAAATAAATCACATACTTTCTTACATCAACTTTCCATGACATCAAGTAACATAGCATGAACAATGTCAAAATATTTGAAGCAAACATTTATCGCATGCAATACAAAATATCGCATGAAACTCATTTGAGGTCCACTAATCTAAGGTCTAAAGCTTAACGGTCTAACCGTATATATTCACATATAGCGAATTACAGTTCTATTGCTTTTCATGTGATTCAATGGATTCCCATTGTTTTATAATCATCGGATCGTAAATCATCAATCTTGTTCTAACTAATTTCGAAAATCATATTTCAATAGCAAGTCGGTACCGACTTACTGTCTTTTACGTAGACTGACTAAGTTCCTCAAACGCTGATATTTTATCATCTTCAAAGTAATCCCCAAATTATCTCTTCTAAAACATCTCAAACTAAATTGTGACAATCTTTAATTAACGCCTAAAAGTAATTGGATTACGACACTTATTCCGTTCGAAATATGAATTACTTTATTATTAAATCAAGTAATAAATCAGATTATTAAAAGCATCTCCAACAACTATGTTGTAATAGAAAGCTTTGAAGATTTAGATTTTTTTTTTTGCTACGACAATTATGTTAACGGTTTGTGAAAAATAAGAGTAAACTAGGATTTTCGTTCCAATGGTTTGATGTTTATAACAATTTTCGTCCCTAGTCTTCAAAAACTGCTTTTTTTTGTCCATGTAGTTTCCATTTTGCTTCTATTTTCGTCCTTGCACTAACGCCGTTAAGAATTAGAGTTAAAAAATCCTAAAAGATTAGTAAATTACATACTTGGTCCTTGTAGCATACAAAGTGCTAAATATTTATCCTTAAATTTCATGTATTACATTAGTAAACTATAAATTTGGTATATATTTTGAAGACACACACACACACACACACACACATATATATATATATATACACACACACACACATATATATATATATATATAGAGAGAGAGAGAGAGACTTGGGATCATGTGAGATCAATGGTTTTTCATGAGATCCGTAAGACCAATTCTCAACCCTTGGATTAGATCTACAATCGTCAGATCTGAACATTCATAAACGCCACGAGACTTCTCAATAATTACAAAATTGTCACCGTGAAACTTTAGACCATTAGATCATTAGCTTATAAAGTTGATCAATGAACATAAATTGGTCTTATGGGTCTCACGAAAAACCCATGATCTCACGTGAACCCAACTATATATATATATATATATATATATATAATTTAAATATTAAACCAATTTGATTAACTAATAAAAAAACAACGTTTAAATGAAAATATAGAATAGTGGAAGTAAAATGCATTTAGAAAAAACAATCGGTTGGTATAAAATAAAACTACTTTTTTTTCTTGAATCCTATTAAACTTCTCCAAATGGTAATTTAAAATAAATAAAAAGCTTTAATAAATTAATAAATAAAAAAATTATTGATTTCAGAAGCTTTCAACCTAAAACTTTCAAAAAAGATGTCATTTATCCCTCTAAGAGCTAAACACTTACCCGGTAAGCACTTACCGGTAAAATTCAACACAATTGTTTACTTATCGGGTAAGATTTTATTCACTAAAACGCATCGTATGCAACAATTTATCCCGGTAAGAGCTAACCATGGTAAGAGTCTTCGTCCTCACTTACAGGGTAAGACTCTCGATTCTTGTCTTCGCTCTTACCGGGTATGATTTTTAGTTCTTACCATATTCATCCGGTAAAATAAAGTGACTTGCTAAGCGCTTACTCGGGTAATCGTTTGGTAATCGGTACCTTACTTATCATTAATTTTGATGAAATTATTTGATTTATTTATTATTAAAGTTACGATAATTTCGAAAATATAAAATATAATTAATAAATTATAAATATCTTGACACTTTAATTAATAATTAATAACTTATTATTTTATCAAAAAAATTATGGATTTATTTTAGAAATCTGTTGGTTTGTTTTTTATTAAATTCGTTTTAAAAACGGTTGGTTCAAGATACGAAAAAACTAAGAATTATATATAAACAGACAAAGAATTCACATGATGTAATTTTTTATGATAATTACACGGTTTTACTGTGATATATAACAATATAATAATATTGTAATAATCGAAAATCAACCGGTTGTTGTTTTTATTAAAGCAATTACTTCCACTATTACATATTTTGATTTAAATTTTATTTTTTATTAGTTAATCAAACTTTTTCGATACAAACCACGACGAGTTAATTTATAGTGTACTCATGTAATAAATGAAATTTTAAGGATAAATTTTTAAAATTCCATATATCATAAGGACCAAATATGTAATCTACTAAAATAACTTTTTAGATTTTTTTAGGGGTTGTTTGTTTACCTCTTAATAGTTCCATTAAGAGGCAACATCTGAATCGTTAAAAGATGAATCTTGTTTGGCAAAAAAAAAAGTTTGTCTCTTAATGATTCTAAAGCCCTCTAAATGATTTTGTATCCTAGATCTCCCTTAACCATTAAGAGCCCTAATTTCATTGTATACAATTACCAAAACAATTATATTTCATTTTCCACTACATCATGAGAGCCTCTTAATCATTCTGTACCAAACGATTCAACAATTGTCAAACAACCCCTAACTC